CATTCACTCACTCAATTATAAGTCCAGTTTATAAGTCAGTATTGGTATTCTGTGTTCCATCCATCATACAAATGATATTAATTAGGAGATAAACATACTGTGTTTTCAATGTAGAGCTAGGTTACCTGTAGATTTAACTGCGCTAAATTGAATTTGGAACCGAACATGCAGCGACTAATGGGATCGGGTGGTCAGACACGCTGACTTGGTTGATGCATGTCATCGTATCCCAATTGCGTAGATCGATGCTCATAATGTCAATCACTGGATTGTCTGGTCCAGACTCGATTATTTACAGACTACCGTCATATAGCTGGAATATTGCTGAGTGGGCGTTAAACAAAGAAAACAAAAAAACGAACAGCAGGCTTTCTGCCTTTGCGTTGGTTATAACTGCTGGACATTTTCTATCAAAATACTATCATTTTCAGCAGCTAAAACCACATGGTAAATAAAGTCATGTTAAGTCCCATCAGTAGCGCACAGTCAGAAAGTACTATATTTTCGTCAAGAAGTGGGCTGAAAATATTGCATACTACCCTAAACTGTTTTTGATCAGAACAAATTTAGTGGGAAAACTTTCATGCTTCATACATGAAGGTTGTAACTGGTGTTGTAACATGATGGTCATAATTAGCGATGACTGAGTTAAACAAGGACCCGCACAAAACGCTTGTATATTGTTTTCCTGATGGAGACATATAAAGTGTATATTTAAAAGGAAACAGGAATTCTTTCCAACTGTTTTTTTTAAAAATCCTGCCACTCCACTTCAGATTCCACCAATTTTTTGTAGACCACACTCAAAGGAGCCTTGTTTCGTTTTAGACCTGACTCAATCTCATTAAAATCAGATCTTAGATTTCGCTACCGCTAAACAAAGATCTGAGGACATCCCATTACGGGTCACGTCAGAACGACCTTTCGCGAACATTGACTGACCAATGAAATGACTGACATGAAATCGACATTAGCCAATCAGAAGGCAGCTATCTCGAGCTTTACGGCACTAGTTTCAAAGTGGCGACTATGCTTAGAAACATATTTTGACATATTCCCGATTAAAATTTTTTAAACTGACCAACACAACATTCTGGAATGACTTATTGATGGCCTAGATTGTATGGATATAACCATAAAACCCGTAACTGTCGTTCGGAATACCCCGTGTTAAATATTTCGAGGTTGCATGATTAGAAAACACATTCCGACTGTCACTTTCTGGTAAGCGACGCTCTGATTGGTTGGATGAAAGGTCGTGCTGACATGACATGTAATGGGTTGTCCTCAGATCTTTGTTTAGTGGTAGCGAGAACTAAGATCTGATTTTAATGAGATTGGACCTGACTCCATTAGATCCAGCACTGGCCAAGAGGTTTCAACAGACTAGTTGGAGCTGATGAATAAACTGACGTTGTTTGTTTACAAATGTGGGTAATTGTTCACAGCTTGACACCACCTGGCCTTAAATACATCACCTTATCTTGTGCTAGCTCCTTGCTGTACTGGTATACACAAAATTAATCCACACCTGGTCCTGGTGGTGACATAAGGCTGCTGACACAATATCATAACCTGACCCTTTGTATCTAGGAAATAACTGGGTAGACAATGAGTGGTGGACACGCTTACCACCTTCAAGTTGGGAGCAACAACCAGCAATTAGTGTAATCCAGGAGTGTGTTAACAACACGCTATTGTGACGTTGATTGATATAACACGTGACGTTGCTAATGAATAATGTGCATACTCGTATATGCAAGGGGTCTGCGTATGGTTCTCAGTAGGAAGTGAGAACTTGGAGATGATTACTTGTGGTGTATACAAGTTTACTTTATACAGGTAGATATATACATACAAAAGACACTATGTGCCTAGTGGTAGTGGTTGTTGTCTTGGTGCCCCCGAGCACCCAGCCTAACCCTAGCTAGGCTATGGGTAAGACCCTTCTTCTCTCTCTTTCTCCCCCCCCCCCCCCCCCCCCCCCCCCCCCTCTCTCTCTCTCTCTCTCTCACTGATTTTCATCTCTGGACCAAGGTCACCTGACATTAAGGAAGTCGTAAACAATAAATCATCAGTGACATACTTGCACATCTTGTTCAGGATGGCAGACAGTTGATGTACAATAAAATGGGGATTAACAATTGGGATTATCATCTTATAGATAACGGCAATTGAGTGTTTCAAGGCATATAGATGTCATGGCTCCAGGGTAATTAGTCTTTGGAATTAAATGTTCATTCAGACAATGGTTGTCGTAAATCAGTCGCTATGACAACTTTAACACCATTCTGAACAGTATTCCAGTTACCCGGAACATAATGTCATACCTCTCAGAAAAGTAGTTCAGTTATATAATGTCATACCTTTCAGGAACAGTATTTCAGATATATAATGTCATACCTCTTAGAACAGTATTTCAGTTATATAATGACAAACTTCTATGAACAGTATTTCAGATATATAATGTCATACCTCTTAGAACAGTATTTCAGTTATATAATGAACAGTATTTCAGTTATATAATGACATACCTCTATGAACAGCATTTCAGTTACATAATGACATACCTCTGAACAGTATTTCAGTTATATAATGACATACCTCTGAACAGTATTTCAGATATATAATGTCATACCTCTATGAACAGTATTTCAGTTATATAATGAACAGTATTTCAGTTATATAATGACATACCTCTATGAACAGCATTTCAGTTACATAATGACATACCTCTGAACAGTATTTCAGTTATATAATGACATACCTCTGAACAGTATTTCAGTTATATAATGACATACCTCTGAACAGTATTTCAGTTATATAATGACATACCTCTGAACAGTATTTCAGTTATATAATGACATACCTCTTTGAACAGTATTTCAGTTATATAATGACATACCTCTGAACAGCATTTCAGTTATATAATGACATACCTCTATGAACAGTATTTCAGTTATATAATGACATACCTCTGAACAGTATTTCAGTTATATAATGACATACCTCTTTGAACAGCATTTCAGTTATATAATGACATACCTCTGAACAGTATTTCAGTTATATAATGACATACCTCTTTGAACAGCATTTCAGTTATATAATGACATACCTCTATGAACAGTATTTCAGTTATATAATGACATACCTCTGAACAGCATTTCAGTTATATAATGACATACCTCTATGAACAGTATTTCAGTTATATAATGACATACCTCTTTGAACAGTATTTCAGTTAATATAATGACATACCTCTTTGAACAGCATTTCAGTTATATAATGACATACCTCTGAACAGTATTTCAGTTATATAATGACATACCTCTTTGAACAGTATTTCAGTTATATAATGACATACCTCTTTGAACAGCATTTCAGTTATATAATGACATACCTCTGAACAGTATTTCAGTTATATAATGACATACCTCTTTGAACAGTATTTCAGTTATATAATGACATACCTCTTTGAACAGTATTTCAGTTATATAATGACATACCTCTTTGAACAGTATTTCAGTTAATATAATGACATACCTCTTTGAACAGCATTTCAGTTATATAATGACATACCTCTGAACAGTATTTCAGTTATATAATGACATACCTCTTTGAACAGTATTTCAGTTATATAATGACATACCTCTTTGAACAGTATTTCAGTTATATAATGAACAGTATTTCGGTTATATAATGACATACCTCTGAACAGTATTTCAGTTATATAATGACATACCTCTTTGAACAGTATTTCAGTTATATAATGACATACCTCTTTGAACAGTATTTCAGTTATATAATGACATACCTCTATGAACAGTATTCAATTTTTCTAATGACATACCTCTGAACAGTATTTAAGTTTTCTAATGACATTCTTTTCGGAATGGTATTTTATATATATAATAACACACCTCTCAACATGATGTCTCCCCTCTCTCTGGGGTGGAGACATAATGACACACTTCTCTGAAAGGTATTACAGTTCTATAACAACTTCAGGGGGATTCTGGGGTAGAAGTGTTCCCTAGCAACCTATGCTGGTTGTACAAGGCGACCAAATGGATCAGTGGCAGGCTTGGAGACTTGGTTGGTTGCATGTTTTTGTATCCCAATGCTTGGAATGTTGCTCATGATATCAATCACTGTGTGTCTGTCCGAGACGTGATTATTTATAGGCATACAGACATTTATTACAGGTGGGGGTGGGTCAGAGGTTTCTGATGCACTGATGTACTGAAATGATGATCCTTCCCTAAAGCTTGGCACATTGTCAGATGACCCTCCCCATGTCCTTGTACATTTTTGTCATGACCTCCCCAAAAAGAAAAAAATGCTAAAGTGCTTTACATTTTATCATGCAATGTTTTTCTTTTCACAATCTCATTAAAATCAGATCTTAGTTTTCGCTACCGCTAAACAAAGATCTGAGGACATTCCATTACGTGTCACGTCAGACCGACCTTGCGCAACCTTTGACCGACTGATAGAAGGACTGACAAGAAGTCGACATTAGCCAATCAGAAGGCAGCTTTCTCATGCTTTATGGCACTAATTTCAAATTGGTGACTACGCTTTGAAACATTTTTTTGCCAAATTCTCGATTACAAATTTGAAACCTTAACAAAAGAACATTCTGGAATGGCTTATAGATGGTCTACATTGTATGGATTCAGTCGTTAAACCCGTAACTATCATTCGGAATATCCCGTGTTAACGTTTTCGAGGTTGCATTATCAGAATTCACATTCCAAATGTCACTTTCATGATCTAGTAAGCGACGCTTTGATTGGTCGGATGAATGGTTGTTCTGACGTGACCCCTAATGGGATGTCCTCAGATCTTTGTTTGGCGGTAGCGAGAACTAAGATTTGATTTTAATGAGATTGTTTTTTTCATAATATAATATAAAGCGCTTTTGCATCTTGGCACTGAATACGTGGATCCAGCAAACTGGAACAGAAATCATTAAATGATCAAGACAGAAAACATCATTTAGACACAGCCATTTAATTTTCATGTATTTAACATGTGGTTGCACTCTCCCATCATACATATTTGAACACAGTCAATGATAAACATATACTGATACATACCATACAATATGGTAACACGTCATGTCCTGGAACTGTACATATATCTTACCGAGGCAAGGGAGTTTACTGACAATAAAAGTCCAGTTTCCACCCTTGCTAAACTATGCAGGAATTTCTGAGCTTGATTGTAGCCCGACTAGTGTCTATCAAGAGTTATGTCCCTTCTATATCCCTACTATTGACCAATCAGATTCCGTCTCTCATATCACTTGTATTTGCTTCAAACAAAATGGCGGCGCCCAGTCAAGACCATCTTGTCAATAATCAAAAGGTATATTGTGATAAAACGGGTCTTACTTTGGAGGTGTATGAAATCACATGAGCACCTTGATGAAAACATGCTTTGCACATCCTGCAATCGACCAAAATCTGCAAGGCACTTTACGAACCGGATGTCAATTTCATTACGCGATTTTGATTGGACAATGCATAAATTTGCTAATCCAGGCAAAATATAACTCAATAATTGCAGTCTACTTTGACTTGGGTGGAAACTGGACTTTCACAGTCAGTTAACTCCCCTGCCTAGGGAAGATGGGAGCTTTATTGTAGTGTCCCAATATGTCAACTGTTTCCTCCGGAACCAAAGGTTTGATGCCACTTCGTCAGTATTTCTGATATATCACATATCAGCTCAAGGTGTGAGCAAAGCCTGAAGAAAGGCACATTAAACATGTTACCCAATGCAGGTTTCAGACATTTACAACATTGGTGAACCCATGAGGATGGGTATGGTGCTGACAAACCTACAAACATAATTTGGATGACCTTGGATTGCAACCCACAAACATACGTTTTTGCAAATTGCTGCATGTTCTACGACTGAGCCCCCCCTAAATTCACTGAAAGTCTCGACAATGTCTTCCTGAGGACAGAGACAAAGTAAACATTATAGTGAAGTCTTGATAAGTTAGGCCTACAATCCAGAAGCTTTGTTTAAATATATTGCACTTCCACATTAACATAATAAAGAGAATAACCATGAAAACTAGCTACATTGGAATTAATGTGCACAGAAGGTTATATGATTATTACCGAAAGTACATGTTTAAGAATCAAGTTGAAGATGCTGCACATGGAGATATAGGTATTATAGAGAAAGCTGCTTTCTTATTGGCTGATGTCGACTTCTTGTTTGTCGTTTCAGTGGTCGGTCAAAGTTCGTGAAAGGTCGCTCTGACGTAACCCGTAATGGTATGTCCTCAGATCTTTGCTAAGCGGCAGCGAGAACTTGTATCTGATTTTATTTTAATGAGATTGTACTTATGATATAGAAACACTCAATGGGTAATAATCTATATATCATTTAATGTCATCCTAAAAATAGTCAAAGTTTTTCAGACATATTTTCATTCACTTAAGTAAATTTAAACCTGTGTAGGAATACAATGCCTGAGTTAACAGCCCAATTTATTGTAGTGCCAAATGTTTTGCAGCCATATTTGCTTTGGTTTCATCACACCGATGCATATATAGTAGTTCCTGCTAATTGACCTCATTTGCATATTATAACAATGCACAAAACTATCCATTATACAATAAATCCATTATGTATTGTTCTTACAATGTCTATGATGTATTAAACAATGCCCGTCACCACAATGTATTGACAGGATGTTAGGCTTCATTGCAAACAATCCAATCAGGTAACCAATAGAGGCAAATAATACAAATGAAACATCTCTACTAATAAAAAAAAGCAAAAAGCAAATACCCTTTTGATTGTTGATCTGTCATGGAGAGTAACTGGTAGATCCAAATAACATATGTACCAAAAACATTAATGACTATTCTAGAGAAGGTTTTAGTGATGTTAACACTGGGTTGTTTTTTTGCTGGTAGTTGAAAAAAAACGCTTTTCATTTATATTTCAAATTGATTTTGTTTAATGTATTGTCGGTCAGTTGCTGTTTGAATTACCAAATATAATCTGAAAGTGTAATTCTGCAACATATCTTTGTAGATGAATTTACAGAAATACTTGGCTGATATGAGCCCACATGTCAGGTGAGATAAACATGAACTAAATCTTGCATATCCATTGCACAGGTTCCCTTTCCTCACAGAAAGTAAAAAAAATTTGAAACACATTTTTTCATACGATCCACACTAAGAACACTAACACAGAATCCCTGAGTAAATACAACTGTGTACAACCACTTCAGACAACAGATCATCTCCCAACTCACATGGCATAAATATATCAATGTGACCATCAATGTGACCATCAATGTGACCATCATCTCACAGTCAAAAGCCAGATGGTACCAAAAAAACATGTTTACAAGACAACAGATGTCTCTGAGTTTAGACTGGAATGGCAAAGAAGCATTTGCAGATGTCTTCTCAGATTTAATATTAGTAGTACAGTAGAACACGGATATAACGAACACGGATAGAGCGAACAAATGGATACAACGAACTGTTAAAAAATCCCTGATTTATCTCCTACATGATATCATATAAAATTTACGTATATAACAAACTCTCTACAGCGAACTAACGGATACAGCGAACGGATATCTGATCACCAACAAGCCCATCTATCACTAATTAGTGAAGTGTATAGCGAACTGAGAAATCTCACTCAGTGTCAAGTGTCACTGACAATTAGCTGTACGCAATCAGCGGCGAATCAATACAATCAGTACTGACGGATCAACCTTGTTATACTTAAATGAATGTTATGAAATGTTATCAGTTGAATGCTATGAAGTGATCACTGCTAATACAAGTCAATGCTGCAGTTACGTGTATTGTGTTTTGTTTAATCCAAGATGGCGGACGTTTCCGGGCGAAAACGTCTATAACAAACAACGGATATAACGAACTGATTTCTCCGGTCCCTTGTAGTTAGTTATATCCATGTTATACTGTATAAGAATTAGGGCTGGGACGGGTCGGGTGGGTACTGAGTAGGACCCGGGTACCCACAGGACTACCCGGACCTGTGGTTAGTCACACGATATCTTGTCTAATGACCAAAAGAAATATCTCGAACTCTATGGTCACACTACAAGTCACTAATGTTCCCATACTCTCTGACTGTGCACCCATTCCTTCTGACTTTTCATATGGTTGAATAAAGATATAACTTAAGACAACTTCAGTGTATGCATGACCAGATTGTTCAATACATGTATCTAAATACGTTTTGCCAGGGCTATGGTAAAAAATTCCCAATCGGACATTTTGAGACATCTCTTGAGACCCACAGTGGGTACCTGAGTGGGGTCGGGTAATAGGGGCATGGGTACTCGGGTAGTAAATTGGGACTCGTCCCAGCCCTAATAAGAATGTGCCTACTGTGTTTATACCAGCAAAATAGAAAATAGAAAAAGTGAAATAGAAAACGATTCTCCTGAAATATGGAAAAAAGTATGCATATATTTCTGAAAAGTCAGGCAAATGTAAGGCACTGATCTAGGTGGACATTCATCTGTGAGGCGAACACCCGAGTTTGGCACACTGGACAATTCTGTAGTGGATCTTGTGAACTGGTGCTACTAGAGTTATCTCCCCCTTGATCTAAACCTGCACTACTTGAAGTATGGCTGCCTCCCCCATCTCCTCGACTACTGAAACCACCTTGTTCTTTAACATTTCCTGATTTTTTCTTTCCCACGGCCTTTCCAGCACTTGCAGAGCCACCTTTGTGCTTGACTTTATTGACCCTATCTGTATTTTTCACCTGGTAAGAATCTCCACTGTCATGGCTCCCAACCTTATATTTCTTGGTTGGCGGTAGTATTTCTTCAATGTCACTATCGTCAGAGGAAGAGTATTGTGGCCTCCTTGTCCATGAACTCATTCTGTTCACATTTCCTTTTTTACTTTTACTGGGCACATCATTGGAACTGGAGGAATTGTTTCGCTTGGAGCCAGTACCAGCTTTCTTTGACCTCGATATGTGTTCATTCAGAGAAGATTGACTATTCCCCACATCACAGTCAAGGTCATTTTGATTGGGACTACTTTTGGTTGGGGTAGTGTTATTGTACAAGGATATTCTTCTATAGGGTGGAGATGTGAAATTAGAAGCTGGATTAACCTTTTTGAATAGTGATTTTATTGGACTTGAAATGTCGCTGTCATCTGAAACACACACTGATTTGCGTTTTTTGTGATTGTCTGGTGACTTTTGATGATGTGGAATAAAAGATGATGTTTCTTTGCCCCATGGAGATTTTGATGAAGAACTGTTCTCATTCACCTTACTTGTTGAGCTGCCTTGTTTGGGAGAGTTGGGAGAGGTCATTTTAGCTTCAGTTCCAAACCACTCTTTGATGGACTTGACTGGACTAATTGTATTGTGAAAACTTGGTGATTTAATTTTACTGACATACTTTTCCCCTGGACTGACAGATTTCTTTCTATTTGTATTAGAGCCAGTTTGTGGTGAATTGTTGGTTCTCCTGTTGTTCATCTCTCGTCGAAGTTGTGCAAGAAAACTAGTTCCTTGACCTCGTTCAGCGCCAAGGACATGACCTTGACCTGAGAATTTAACATTGCTTGGCCCACTATCATTAGTGCCGACAGAATTAATATCACATATCTGAGGTCCCCCATCAGAAATTGGGCCAGGCTTCTTACTTGGGTTGGGGCTTGTGGTTTGGTCCCAAATAGTTTTTACCAAAACCCCTGTTGTTCGACTTGGTATTCTGGAATTACCAAGAACAGGGGTTTGTTTCACCCTTTGTGACACATCTCCTTCATGCTTTTCAAACAATTCTTTGTCTCTGTTGACTGAAGGCTTTGGTTCCCTGGTTGGCATGACAACGGAGCTTGATCTGTTATTAAGTGATCCAGCACCATTTATATCTGTGAAGACATGTGAACTTTTGCTTTGGTTTGGGTTTGTTTCTGTAGATGACTTCATACTTCCAAAATTGGGTGGAAGACGAGGAAGTTGAGAATCATCATTGGAAGAGAACTGACTGGAAGATGTCACTGTACTTGAGGGAGGCTTTTTCACAGATGTGACCCTTGACCCGGTCACCTGACCTTGACCCCAGAAACTTCTGATATCAGGACTCTTGACCGTTTTCTTATCTGGAGAACAGAAAACATCCGTTTCAAACTCTTCAGTGGCAGCACATGAGTAATTGACTTTTCTGATTGGTTTGGTTTGGTTTGTTGTTGTTTAACGCCGCACTCAGCAATATTCCAGCTATTAACGGCGGTCTGTAAATAATCGAGTCTGGATCAGACGATCCAGTGATTAATATCATGAGCATCTATCCACGCAATTGGGATCGATGACATGCATCAACCAAGTCAGCGAGCCTGACCACCCGATCCCGTTAGTCGCCTTTTACGACAAGCATAGTCACCTTTAACGGCAAGCATGGGTTGCTGAAGACCTATTCTACACCGGAATTATCACGGGTGACTTTTCTGAAGTAGTAGAGTAACAACACATTCCTATACTACTCAAAAGAAGTTAGGAACACCCAATTCTTTCAATATTACATGTACTATAATATGAAAGAATTGGGTAGTGCTTAACTTCTTTTGAGTAGTATATATAATTCTTCCTTTAATATATAGTTTCACTACAAACTTTGCATTTAGACAACCAAATATTTACATATCAGTTTCTGAAGGTGATGGATCACTCCTTTGTGGTCTTGCATTTGATGTGATTGCAGGGTGAGAAATTAAACCAAATCCTTTAAATATCCATAAAGGGCAGCTCAATAACAACTCAGAGAAGAAAAGATAAAGAGATCATCATACAAAAACTTAATACCAGTGGTAGAAACTAACAGTTTTAGTCCACTAGTCCATATAATGATAACATATAGCAAAATGGCAAATTTCTATTAGTTCTTATGATACCTTAGCTAATGGGCAGTTTGGCAAGGACTACAGGACTATTACCAATTTCTGTTAATACAATGGTATACATAATTCTTTAAGCTACAAATCCCAATTACTATAATTACATTCTACGTTCATTCTACCCAGCTCACCAGGAATGACCTCTTCTTTCTTGCTTTCTTTATCTTTCTTGCCCTTCTTCTGCCCATAACCCTCGGGTTCCTTCACCTTGGTGTACGTCCCCCCACACGTCCTCTGATGGTCCCCCCACCAGGGGTCCCTGGATGAGGGCGCTCGGTTCATGGCACGCTTCACAAAGCCAAAATATGGACGTCTCTTCTGACAGGGCCCGTCACATCGCCACCAGTGCTGCCGATACTCTGCTACTTCATCATGGAAGGTGTGATAAATCTGTCAACAAAATGATTTTGTTGAAGAACCACTGTAGCTAGAGTTAGTGAATAATTACATTTAATGTAAATATAATGTAATGGTTATGATACACAGGCCGGATTAAAACTGTGGTCCACCAAATATGCCCAAACTGGAAAAACAAAAACACTTGACCTGTTCCGAGTACTTTTGGAAGGAATGAACAGATGTTACTAACTCTTATTAGTCCTAATTCAACACAAGTCATCTGTGGCCAGTTTTAGGCTCAGGCAGGTATTGATCTAACCGCGTCAGTGCTATAAATATTGAAGAGCCACCTTAAGTGATTTGTATCACCATTTACAAGAAACTTTAAATTACAAAATAATAATGATTGTTTCAATCAACTTCATGCTTAAGTGGGGCGGTCGGGTAGCCTAGTGGTTAAAGCGTTTGCTCGTCACGCCGAAGACCCGGGTTCGATTCCCAGCGTGAGTACAATGTGTGAGGCTCATTTCTGGTGTCCCCCGCCGTGATATTGCTGGAATATTGCTAAAATCGGCGTAAAACCATACTCACTCACTCACTCACTCATGCTTAAGTGAAACCAACTTTCAACATGAGATACTGCTATGACACCCACTTACTGAGATATTTGTCCCCGTTTCCGTGTTGATTCTGTTCATGTGTTTCTGGAACTCAGGGCCATGGCCATCATGATCCTGATCAAACATATTGGAGACAATAATCAGTCATGGAAAACATACTGATAACAGAAAATCTAGCTCATTGGCTAGACAGGCCTTGTTAACCCCCATAAAAGACGGAAGTCTGTTTGTTGTACTGTTTGTCATACAGCATGCACAGTGGCTTGTCACAACTGAATGTGACACGAGTCCGCCAGCAGTCACAAGATAGATCCGATATTTGTAACTAATGTATATTTGGGATAACACTTTCTTAGTAAAGTACAGATTCCCGTACTTTTTTGGGGTTGAGTCCCATCCAGCATTCAAACCCACACTTGCCAGAGTAAGGCACCTAATCGCCAGCACACAAAGTCAGCGATCTAACCCACTCAGCCACCGAGGCTTCCACAAAAAATGGACAAGTGTGGGTTCGAATCCCGGATGGGACTCAACCCCAAAAAAGTACGAGAATCTGTACTTTACTAAGAAAGTGTTATCCCAAATATAACATTTGTTACATTTGACCACTTTCTAAATGGCATTGTGTATTCATAGCTTTCGGCCATGGGAGCTGTGCCAATTTACACTTGTCAGAGGGGTACTCAAAGTACGTGATCTAGACTACCAGTTGCTGGACTTCCATTTTTGTGGAAGCCTCGGTGGCTGAGTGGGTTAGATCGCTGACTTTGTGTGCTGGAGATTAGGTGCCTCACTCTGGCAAGTGTGGGTTCGAATCCCGGACGGGACCTCAACCCCCAAAAAGTACGAGAGTCTGTACTTTACTAAGAAAGTGTTATCCCAAATATAACATTTGTCACATTTGACCACTTTCTAAATGGCATTGTGTATTCATAGCTTTCGGCCATGGGAGCTGTGCCAATTTACACTTGTCAGAGGGGTACTCAAAGTACGTGATCTAGACTACCAGTTGTCGGACTTCCATTTTTGTGGAAGCCTCGGTGGCTGAGTCGGTTAGATCGCTGACTTTGTGTGCCTCACTCTGGCAAGTGTGGGTTCGAATCCCGGACGGGACTCAACCCCAAAAACATAAGAGAATCTGTACTTTACTAAGTAAGTGTTATCCCAAATATAACATTTGTTACATTTGACCACTTTCTAAATGGCATTGTGTATTCAGATCCGATATTGTCACATTAATACATTTCACCTGAAACAATTCTTTGTAACTTGTGAACATGTGATGACAAAGTCAGTACATATGTCAGGAGTAGGGCTGGGATGGATAACACAGGTACTTGGGTCGGTGGGTCCTGAGTAGGACCTGAGTACCCACAGGATAACCCGGACCGCGGTTAGTCACATGACATATTGTTTATATATGTTTCCAGGCAATATTAGAGAATTTTAGTTGCCCCAATTCAAGGCCTTTTCAAAGCGTTTTATCAATGTATAAAGCGTTCATGAAACTTGAAATACTAAAACCATTGATACAAATCAGATACTAAGTGAATAGCTATTTGAGAGAGCATCCGTGCCACTGTAGCAGCAGTATTACTGCTATAACTGCTTACTTTTCCCAGTCTCTCAATTCCATTTGTACCTTGCAAGAGGTTAAGGTTTTATAAGATACAATTAAAGTCTTACCTTATCATTGTTGGTGACGAACAGGTACGCGTGAATCATCTCATGCTGAAATAACAATAGTGACATGTATCATGAATCTATAGTCCTAACTGATGCAGCACTGCCAAGAAGCATCTGCTCAATCTCTAATACTTATACCAAAGTAAAATTATTTTTCATGAAATGTTAAATTTGATAAGAGTGTATCTGAAAAATAGACGGGTACTATCACTGCATACCAGTAATGTTTCAACCAGGTCTTTCCTCGGTCTCAGTTTCAAAAGCGGCAAACTCAACCGAACAGAGCACAGTCCTCCACGTCTTTCATACACACACAATCCAGCACACCTGAAAAATAGCCAGGATAGGACCATTGATCAATTGTTTAATTCAGTGATAAAAAAAATCAAACTTTTAATCCTCTTCTACATTTCTACTACTCCTGATGATACCTGAAATATTGGGTAGTTTGGCAAGGACTATAGGCCGAGTGACAATTTCCGTCTCAGTAATTATTTTATATCTCGCAGTACACTATTACATTCTTCCTTATCCTAGTCCATCTCAACAGTCCCTGAACCTAATTATTTCCCCTTCTGCCCTTGACCTTACTGCAATGCGAAAGCCCTAAATGAAGCAAGTCTAGATTTTCCATCTCACTGTGGCTCCTTTTCATTTGAAATGGAGTTGCTTGTTTTTGTCAAAATTATAGCTTATTTGACATGCTTGAATAAAACCATAACTTAGTTGACAGTACCTCTGCCTTGATATTTCAGTGATGCCTTCAAATTACAAGGTATGTTATTATCACACTCAACACATGCTCAAATCACTTGTTTGTTTGTTGTTTAACGCTCACTCAGCAATATTCCAGCTATATGACAGCAGTCTGTAAATAATCGAGTCTGGACCAGACAATACAGTGATTGACATCATGAGCATTGATCCACACAATTGGGATTGATGACATGCATCACCCAAGACAGCAAGGCTGACCAACCGATCCCATTAGCCACCTCTTACAACAAGCATAGTCACCGTTAACGGCAAGCATGGGTTCCTGAGGGACCTATTCTACCCCGGATCTTCATGGGTAGCTTAAATCACTGTACATCTTGTAATCACAAGGCAATGGAGGTATTATGGTCTCTTCATAATGGTGGTATTAATGTGCCTTGAAATGTTTGTATGTCATAAAATCCAGACCTGGCAATATAAAGTTTAAATAAATATACATGTATTTAGACTTGCACTGAATATAGGCACCATGAAGACTAGTTGTAATTGGGTGCCATTTTCTTTAATTTAGATTTTGTCATGACTGTGTGTATAATATTATCATCATGCTAATGTACAGACCAGTTCCTCATGTGAATGGTATTTAAAAGAAGAGACCATGTACGGATATCGGCATGTGATCTTTGTATTATAGTTATTATGTGCATATGAAAGCTGATGTTCACAATTCTGACATACAAAGTCATTCTTGGGCTCCATTTGACCTCAATTCCAGCTAATCTACCCCAGAAAAAGCGATCGTTGTACTGCAGGAATAAAGCTCTGATGTCCGGGTTAGGATCTGTCAGCTCCCAAGTTTGGTCAACAATTGATAATGGTGATTTAGAGGGAACCGGTGCCCTTGGTGAAGATGGCGGCGAGACAATGTTATTAGCCGCTTCTCTATCGAATTGTTCTTGTAACTTGCGCGCAAGTTCAAAGTCGCGATCCCCCATAATGTGAAAAGATTCGAATTACAAACACAAAACTGACAACAGGTGTCCGCCATATTAGATTGTCATAGGTGAAGGACGAATGTTAACCTTCAAACGGTATTTTCCTAACAATGTATTACGAATGTAGATTCATGATCGACGCCTTGTACTAAATCAGACCAATTGTTGTAATAATGTTATTTTAAACAAAGTTTATATTTCACAAATAATCAAATCATAAGAAATGTATACTATATTAAATATTATATAGAATGACAGTACTAATTGATACCGATTGAAAATGTTGTTGATTCATTATTTTACGTTTGGCTTAGAATGCAATGTTCTTTTTCAGTATATAAGAGCATTTATTTAGGGGTTATAATTGCAGTCTATTCAAGAGCTGTATACGAAATATATCCGTTATAGGGGGTATATGTTATAGCATAAATCACACCATGATGTTTCAATGAGTACATCATAATCGCGTTTTCCTCTGATCACATACTCGATATTAATGTTTATCGCAAACCAAGATTAATAGATGCGACCAACAAGCTAATGTTTCTCGAGTAATATGTATTTAACTAACAAAATAACAATAATAAGAGGTTATATTAATTTTGGAGTAGGCCCAAACGTTCTAAGGTGCTGCAATTCGATTTGCAGAGAGGCACGCTAGAGCCCTACGATTGTGGGTTCGAATCCCGGCTCGCCCCGATCATGTTTGTAGGTTTGTCAGCACCATACCCGTTCTCATGGGTTTCACCAAAGTTTACAGGATATATTTGTATCAGGGTGTGTATGACAGAAGACATGGCTCTGTCTCAGTAATTCCAAAAAGACTTTTCTCCTGTTTGATGCTACATCAATCAAATTGCCAGTTATAATGCAAACAGAACCTTTAAATTTTGGAGAATTTTATTAAGTAACTTTGAAATCTCTAGCCATAGGAAACATCTAGTTTCTGACATGAACACGTTTTACAGCAAAATAACAGTTGCTAGATTACAGTTAATAAATGTAATTAAAAGGAGCAAAGATATTTTCTTCCTGAAACTGCAGTAATCTAGACTTGCCAAATGTTATAGGCTTGCATGGGCTGTAATGGATATTTTTGTTTCAGGGTCTGTATGACAGAATAGAATCATTCTAACTGCTGCCTCCAAGCAGCTGGTACCCCAAACCTTACTAGAAAATAGATTTGATACTTCCAGCCCTCTAAACTGCCTACCACTGGCAGTGAGAGGGGTGGTGGGTGGGGTGGGGGGTTGTGGTGGTGGTGGTGGTGGTGGTTGGAGCAGTAAACATTCCTGTCACACCCACTTTCAGCAGCATGTCAGTGATGGGTGATAGGAATCTGTACATGTGTTGTGAAATTCCAAGAAATTATAGCTCTGCAGATTTGTTTAGTCTCCGAAATTGAAGAAAATCTCTGGGCTCTTTTTCATTATATTTTATAACTATAATTTAACAAGTGTTTTTTTTCCGTAAAATATGTTCATTTCAGAGACTAGATGTTAGTCTGAAAATGGAGAAAGTCTCTGGGCTCCTTTTTATTATATTGTATAACAATAATTTAACACCTGTTTTTACTGTAAAACATGTTCCTTTCAGAGATTAGATGTTAGTCTAGTGACACGGATATAGCACCCCCAGGGATGGAGGCAGAACAGCGTCGGGCGGGTACTGAGGAAGAGGTCTTGCTACATAACTGAGCAGCATTGTACTAAGACACTGTTGTAGTTAGGCATCTGTCGTTTGTATCTCATACAGACGCCGAAATGAAAATATCCAAAATCTCGAGTCTGTATTTCTCTGAAGATGAAGATAATCTCTGTGCTTCTTTCCATGTTTGTATAATATATTAACGACAAATACCAACCTACAAAGAGATAGTAAAATATTTTCATTTCAGAGACGAAGTGTTAGGCAACCTTGCTTCTTTTTTTTTTAGCTCACATTGATATAGACACCGACAGCTCTATGGTTATCATCAGACATGATGATACAGTACATGTGTTCAAAAGCGGGGCTTGCATTCCTTGCAAATTTGATTGTTTGCTAGCTTAAGTTGTAAGATTATCAAGCAGTTAATGGTTACCCTAATTACCGTCTCTGTTTCACACGGAACGACAATTACTCAGTCTATTTATAGTACACCTATAGTACAATTATTGTACACCACATAGTCCATCCATAAAATTGTTTCACGGTTTGCATGCAAAACTAACTGGTAAGAAGACAGGACTGCCAGCTCGTGTCAACTCACTTAGCAATTTCATACCGTAGTGTCACTTTGTTGGAAATGTGTGCCGTAGTTTTAATTTGGAGTATAAACAATTCATAAATAGCAGAACGGGTCAGTTGTACATGTCACCCAGTGCTTCTTTAATTCATACTGAACGATTGTCTACCTTACACTCTCGATGCTGACATGTTTGCTTATACATTAATTCTAAGGGTTGCTTGCTTGTCATGTTCCTTCAGCAGATTACTGACTAAATAATGATCATGTTATATTCCGTTAGGAAAATAGTATTTCTAAAAACCCTTTCGACCATGTCGTGTTTTTAATGATTATTAAATTCGGTTGACATGTATCATTTTGTTTACTGTATATGGCATACACCAGATTAATTATATGTAAAATAGTATTTAATTACACAATATATTCGTTTAATGACATGCTGATGACCTTAACCTTCTTAATTTATAGCCTCGATCTCAGGACCGGAAGTGTACTATGGCGATGCGACACATACCTTAGCAAAATGACGTGAATTTATAATCTAAACTGTGTTAATTATGGATACTAAGCCAATTTACTCTCCTGATATTTGTTTGGGTAAGTTGAATCTACTGTGTGACCTTTCTCAAGCATACTACATGAAAATTCATCTGATCAGACATACATTGTGAATGATTTATAATGGATTTGACATTTGATTGTCTTGGCAAATGCTTGATATTCGATCAGCAGACAGTTAAAAACACACCCGAGACGGTCACCCCAAACAGGTGTATCGACGGTAACTCCTTGAAGTGACTCCCATAAGTATACTTCAGTATTAGGAAATATTTAGCGAGCAGACTCTCAGAAGGTTGCGATGACAATTAGACAACTGTTGCATCAATAAAACAATCATGAATGTCTATTGATGAGGGGGTGATTCACGTAATGATTAACAGATTAGTAACCCATTCTGTGCATTGCTGTTGTGGTAAGATACTTATGTTTAGATTTCCTGTAGGTTTTTTGTCATTGTGGATACACATGATCATCGAGAGGTGAGGTCTAATTCTCTGTCTCTAGCTTTTACTATTCTATTGTAACTATTGTCAGTCTAGTTCTTTACATAAATGACACATTTTTCATCATTCATGAACATGTCATATTTCTATGGTTATTCTGGTCATTTATATTTCTCTCAGATAAGTAGGTAGGGTAGCTATAAGTATAAAATCATCACAAACCAGCTCATAAAATGTGCATTGTGCCCAAACTTGTCTTTCTAACTATTTCTCATGCCCATGAAGGTTGAACTTATGTTTTGTATTTTGTGTTTGTTAATAAATGTTTTTTGTTGGTAGTGATTTCTGAATTGGCACACCAAGTTTTTGTATGAATCAGCTTATTTGGTTTTATCTCAGTTGATTTTGGTACAAGTTGACTGATTGTCAATGCCATTTTGGCTTGGTCATTGAACATATTGCAAGTGACATGTCGGCCTGAGAGGGTCAAACATTGTAAGGAGGTCTTGTTCTAGTGGTAACCACATTTTGCAGTCAAATGAAGCTAATCACCGATAGATAGTTGATCAGATGGTGGATACAGTATGCTACACACTGGGGTGGTGGGTAGCCTAGTGGTTAAGGAGTTTGTTCGTCCCAGCTAAGGCCATGGCTTAATTTGTATTTCTGATGTCGCTTGCCTTGATATAGCTGGATTATTGCTAAAAATGGTGTAAAGTCCAACTGACCCACTTACCTAGAGGACATTTTCATGATTTTATTGATAGGACATTCTATTATACCATAACCAGCATTGACAAATTTGTTATGGACATTCTGGATGACAATCAGTCAAAGACCTAGAACCAATCTAAAGACCTTACTGTCACCAAGTTACGGGTACACAGGGTTTGGCGCATTTGGTATTCAGCCCTTGGGGTTAGTGAATCTAAAAATCATCAGTGATCTAACTAGTACTACATGTACAACCTTTGTGTCATAAAAACGTACCGACTTGGTTCTTTTTCAGAGCATGCTGTCATTACAATGGTGGTGTATTACTATTTAAATGCTGTACAATGTTTGAAATGGATTAGTTTTGGTATAATAATTATTTGATGGCTGTTCAGTAACCCAGCCATGGCTACAGCAACATTTGTGAAGGTTAAAAGCTGAGACTTCGCAAAAATATATATTCCAAACGATTATTTTCAAGAGATACTATGCTCAAGAAGGTAGATTCTCACTTCACACTTTTGGTGTATGTTGTAGCTTATGCCATGATCATGTTTTTGAAATATCAAGTTGATAAGTCAGATTTATGATGGATGGATGTATTTATTTTAATTCAGTGTATGATATGTCAACAATATATCATGAGGCATACGTCTCCTGGAACCAATCAAAACCTCATCCTAAAACCCCTCTTAGTTTACAACAAGCATATACTTGGTCAATATATATTATTGGTGATGTACTGTACTAATGGAATATTTCCCTTTGAATTACCCATACCTTTATATCTATGGAGCAATTATTTTAGCATGAACAGGTGGTCACAATGATTGCTAATTATGAAGTGGACCAGACACCATGCATGTGTTCATCAATCAGCAGTGGCAGTGATCAGTGTAGCATCCTTGCAGGTGTAGGTGGGAGGACTGTGCCACTTGACACTTCTTTAGAAGGGCTCGATAGTAACATAAGTTTGCTAGTCTGAGACAAGTAAACTGAAAAGGGTACATTATCATCCTCAGTGAAAAAGAAGGGTACAAACCTTTTTGTTATTATCTAGCTAATGAAGAAATGACATATTACCAAGATCATAGATGCACACATTAATGAGTACCCTGTGGCACACTTGAAGGAAAATACATTTCCTTTCCTGTACATAATCATGTGGATAGTTGTGAATTTTGTGTATTGTTTGCTGTCTAAACATGCTTCTACTAGAGATCTTCATTTACAGTTTTGTGTAAACCTGCTACAAGCAGCGATCTTGTATCTGTTTTGTATAATCATAGTGGCTATCACATTAGCCTGCTACAAGGAGTTGAGTAACATTTGTCTGTTTTACAAATTGCCTGCAGTCATGTTCATTGTCGTTGCATAACTGTCTTCCAATTCCAGGAGTGTGGAAATCGAAATAATGTTCACTTGTCCTTGGGCAAGTACACTGTTACTGATCTGGATTCATTCACACAAAGCAGTTGTTGTGCTTCAACAGCAGTAAGCCATTGTTAAACTCACTGTTTAAAAGATAGACTCTGTCCAGACTACTTTGCAATCCTAGCATGTTTTTATTAGATTATAGCCCTCGAAATTTGATTTTTTTTACACCACTAGTAATCAGGCCCAGTGCGCAACTGATTTAACTAGTCATCTGAATGTGTAGCGAACTCAGATTGAGATGACTATTAAACAGAATCAGTGACAGACAGTGAGCATGGTGAACGCAGGGTGAGATTGTTTACAGTTAATGTAATTGCAATCAATTTAGTTTATTTGTCACTGTAGTGTTGGTGTATGCGAGGCCCACGTTACAGCCCCTGCGTTGCGATAGGTACGATACATTACATTACAAGTTATATTGGTATAAAACATGTGAATAATGACAGATTTTAAATGCAGAACGAAAATGTTCAAACTTAATTAAGTTTTGCTGTTCAGTGATTATTCAGAGTGTTTGCCAGTTGAACATGAAAAAGACTTTTTAGGTTTGAACAGTAAACTTTCATTTTGATGTTCATTAGTTTTTAGTTGATCAGTTATTTATTGATAGTAAATCAGTGATGGGCTTTGGTGTCAATTAAGCATGTTAAGGTTAATATGGGTTTGAAAACATGTACCGTATTCAATGTAATAAGCGCTCAGGGCACTCTCAAAATTAGAAATAGGGGGCACTTATTAGAATATTATTTTGATTTAAAGATCGTAAATTTCGTGGTTTATGCTAACAGCCTGAAATGTTTACATACGACAGATATATTTTTCAAGAATTTAATTGCCCATAATTAAGGGTGATATAACAAACGAGTGCGTATTATACACGAATAAATAAGTCTTGTGTACATTGATCAATCGGAAGGGGTGCTGATTGAGATTGTTCACTAGCCAATATCGCTGTGGGCGCTTATTAGAGCGGGGCACTTATTACGTCGAATATGGTATGCGGATTGGGTGAAGCAGTTATGTTTTACAGAGGGAACACGACACACATTAATTCTTACTGTTTGTTAGGGGTGACTGTTGGGGCTATTTTCCCTTTGCGATTGTATTGCAATAGTATGCCAAACCATTGCCATAGTATTAAACCAACTCTAAGGCTTGATAATTATATTAATCAATGTAATAAATTAAATAAAGTATTGCCGGCAATGTCCAAAGTCGTCCATTTTCCTCCTTATCGAGGCTCAAACCAAAGGGAGTAACTCTCATCAGAAGCTGTTGTAATCCTTGTTAATCGGGACACAGCACGTTTAAAATTTGACCAAAAAAACTGAATTTTCTTGCGCATAATATATGTTTTATTTATAATTAATTGAGACTATTGAGACTATCGATCGTTATGCATACTATTGACAATACCATTATTGTTTTAAATTACTATCGAAATACGGGCGGTCGGGTAGCCTGGTGGTTAAAGCGTTCGCTCGTCACGCCGAAGACCCGGGTTCGATTCCCGACATGGGTACAATGTGTAAAGCCCATTTCTGGTGTCCCCCCGCCGTGATATTGCTGGAATATTGCTAAAAGCGACGTAAAATCAAACTCACTCACTCACGCACTCCTATTGAAGTAGTGCAATCTTAGGGTAAACAATTGCAATACATCATTGATGAATGGGCGAATATGTTGTTACCCTCCTATCATTTGTTGTGGTGTATTGTGATACCGGTCGTATCGTCAGTCCATATCTTGATTCATATTGTATCGCAAGATCTCAGGCGATCTCAGATCACACACAAGTTAATATTAATGACAAGCTCAAATGTAATTAAATATTGACTACCAGTTGACTTTCCTGATTTCAAATCAACATAATATTTTATGTTTTCGCATTGTGATGGCTAAATTTAATCATTTTTTAACAAAACGTTCCATAATAGTTACACATGTTATTTTATATTCCACTGTACATGCTGTAGTTCTCACTGAAATGGCACCCAGGATGATATCGTTTGATCATTTCCAATTTGATGCTTTTGATATTGATCTGTTAGCTGCCGCACATCTCATTATGCACTGTTTTACATCGTGTTGTGGTACTTGTTTAACCATTAATTGTGAGTTGATGCCCGAGGGAGTCCTGGGGCAGTATGCCATGTTTACATCATAACCACTATACCATGTAAAGTCTTTGTAAAGGCATTTAGAAGTGATGCACATAAGGAAAATAATTTATGGATCATCATCACCACCACCATCATCATCATCATCATCATCATCATCATCATCATCATCATCAATTCTCTTCCTTAAGTAATTACAAGTTAAACATGTTAAACATTACAATAATAGAAGGTGTCAAAATTAGGAATCAAAATCAGAAGTTTCATAAGGTTGATTAATTATAATCATGATAATTATGTCAAATTTCTGATAGATTCATGC